ATACATACGGATAGGCTGAATGAGAATATCCAACTAAATGCAGGGATGGATGGTATAAATGAACAGAGAGCATGGGAGCATTGTTTAGATAACAATGTTAAATGACATTAAAGAACTGATTATCCACACTAATTTTGACCAGACCCATTGTGGATAAGGAAACAATGCAGATAATTGAACATAACACACACAAAAATTGACTTCAATGTAAACCAAAAACTTTTTCATCGGGAGTTATAACTGTTGCTAGAGAGCCCGTACTGTGCCAGCCCTTCTCTTACCTCCTGACTTCCTCTATAACTTTCTCTCTCTCTATCTCTCATAGTCTCTCTTATCACTTCCTTGTTTCTCTTTCCCTCTATTTTTCACTCTTGTGTCTGATTCCCTCCCCATCTCTAACCTTACACTGGAAATTGTTAAATAAACATTCAATTGCACCGCTATTTCACAGTCATGCTGTGCTGTTAACTCGTGGGCTTCGTAACCTCACATGCATGCACACAAATGGATAAACTAGTATTTCTGCCCTACTTTGTCAACAACAACGGACCCATGTTTAGTCAGATAAATATTTCATGTAGTTTTCTCCTTCGTTCAGAATATGACCGAATTTATCCCGTTTCAGAGTTGGCATCAGAATGATAGTCAGTTATCAGTCAACAAGACAAAGTTCCAGAAAATGGGGTTTATTCTCCCCTTGGTCTAAAAAGTAATTTAAAAACTCTTGGCATTGTCCTGGTAACCTCATTGGTGGATGTGAGTGTAGTTGATCTGTTTTCACATCCCAGATTAAATATTGCAGATCGACCACCAGCGAATGAACTCCATATGGCTCACAGGAGAAAGGAACATTGGCAGTTTTAGATGACAGAAGTTTGAAGTAATGTTACTTTGCTCAGGATCAAAATTCAAGTACTATATCTTGAAACAACCTAAGGAAAAAAAGAATGGAGCTCCCTCCAGGCTCCCGTTACGAAGTGAAACACTGTGAGGTACTCTTTACATTTTATGGGAAACATTCAAACAAGACAAAAGATAAAAAAAAATCATTTATTTATAATTTAAACATGATGATATAATCGTTCCATTTCTTATAGCACCTTTTACTTGGCTCAGTGGTTCGAGCACGCGCTTTGCAAGTGAGAGACCTGAGTTCAATTCCAGGCAGGGCGAAACCTTGGGCAAGTTTCCTTAGTCCACACGCCTAATAATAATCCCTCCAAAAAAAAACAATAATAAAATTGGTCATTTTCAATCCATGACTGTTTGTGGGACATTGCTGTGCGCAATTGGCTGCTGCGTTCGCCCACAAATATACAGTCAATTCACTTTACAGTATATTCTGTGAAGTGCTTTGGGACGTCTAGAAGACGTGAAAAGCGCTATATCAAATGCAAGGATTATTATTATTATTACTTCAGGTAGACTTCCCAAGCACTTCACAGAATTCAATGTAAAGTGTAGTGACTGGGTATTTGTGCGAAATATTTTCAGACTTTGACTTCAGTGAAGAACACTGGTGTCTAATAAGCGCTCTAATATCACTGCTATGCATCACCAGAAAAAGTATATGTGACAAGATTTAGGGTCCAATGAGAACTTGATTCTGAGCTACAATCTGATGAGAAAGTGTGCTGCAAAGGGCTTTATTCAACAGCCACTCAAAGATGATGCAGTTGGAGAAGTGGTCGGGCCTTCAGCCTCTCAGCCCCGAGGCTCTGGAACTCCATCCCCCAGTGCCTTCGCCTTGCTTCCTCCCTTTCCTCCTTCAAGGCCGGTCTCAAAACCTTTCTCTTTGACCGAGCCTTCAGCTCCCCTCTCGACTCTCTTCCTCCTCCTCGCTCCCTCCCTTCCCTCCCCTCACCCTGACCATTTCCCCCCTCCTCTCTCCCTCCCTTCCCTCCCCTCACCCTGACCATTTCCCCCCTGCTCGGGTCATGACCCAACTGTGCAGCGCCTTGGGACGTCCTACTGACGTGAAAGGCGCTCTATAAATGGAATCTTGTTGTTGTTGTTGTTGTTGTTGTTTTTAGATCCAAGTACAGTAAACAGGGATTTTGAAAAAAATTGGTTTTGAATCTTATCGGTACAAAAGCTATTTGGTGGTGAGCCTATTATTCGTTAGGCACATTTACCGATTTGTCCCTGGGCACTTACACATAAATGTAATACAGTTTTAAATTATAAATAACATGGTATCATAAATGTAAAATTAAATTATAGTTCCCAAATTGCATTACATTTATATATAAGTACTGAGGGCTAAACTCACTAAGCCTACTGAACAAAGTAGAATAATAATAATAATCCTTGCATTTGATATAGTGCTTTTCATGTCTTCTAGATGTCTCAAAGCGCTTCACAGAATATATCGTAAAGTGAACTGACTTTGTGGGCGAAATGTGGCAGCCAATTGCGCATAGCAGTGTCCCACAAACAGTCGTGGACTGAAGTGACCAATCTTATTTCTGTTTTTTTTCTTGAGGGATTTTTATCAGGCAATGTGGAGTAAGGAAACTTGCCCAAGGTTTCGCCCTGTAGGGAATCGAACCCAGGTCTCGCTTGCAAGGCGAGTGCTCTAACCACTGAGCTGCGAATAGTGCTAAGACCACGTAAGCAAATTTGTTACATGGATGACTCTGTGCAGAATGACTCTCAATAAGACTGCAACTCTTAAAATAATTACATTTTTAAAACAAGTTAGCTCTTTGGAAAATTTGAAACTAGAACAATTGCATTTTATACACGTAATAATTGACTTAAGTCTTCTAGCTAATAGAAGAAAGCATAATGCTGGTTTTATATTGAGAACAGAGCTGATTTAGTAGACAAAATGCAGAAGTCTTGAAGAATCAGCCTCTGCATATAAACATTTCTCCTCAGTAAGCTCTCTTATCCGTGTAACTGATGTAAAGTTATGTTTTCTTCCATTCAGCCAGGACAGACATGGTCAATGATCCATAAAGCACAATCACTTTTTATTATTTTAAAATCTTACATCTTCAGAACAAAACCAATTTTTTCTGCAATATTTCCAGAAGCTCATTATTTTAATGAGTTACTCTTGGAATAAAAAAATGGTGGGAGTCATGCAGCTTTAATTCTATTTTATTTAACTGCCCATTGTCAGCATATACCAGTATAATGCTCACTACAGAGGTCTGTGAATTTTATTAGCAAGTTTCTAATTCCTTTTTGTTTGTTTTATTTGCATAAGTTATGTGGCCAACTGGAGCTGAGTCAGGCTGCTGTCAAGTTTTACTCTGCTTTGCTAATTTTCTCCCCTCCTCTCCTGAGGCCTGCGGTTTTACTCTCCTTCTGGTACTATCCAAATAGCCATTATACAAACTTTGACAGTGAGTTCTGGCATTGCAACCAAGCTCAACCCTGTCCTCCCCAATATGTATATGCTAACATCTTCAGTAGTGAGAAAGGAATATAGAGTGATATAGGAGAGATGTTCTCTCGACTTGACTAGCAGACATCAGGACCTGGATGAGTGAAAACGTCCTACAACTCAATGTTGACAAGACGGAAGCCATACTCATTGGCTCCCATCAATGTCTTCTATCCTATGGCTCTGACCTCCTCAACCTCCCCGGCCTATCCCTCAGACTTTCCGAACCAGTGCGTAACCTAGGGGCCAGGTTCAACCCACAGCTGTCCTTCCTTCCTCACATCCGGTTCCTGACCAGGACCGCCTTCCTCCACCTCCGCCACATTGCCCACCACCGACCGGACCTTACACCAGAGGCAGCTGAAACCCACGTCCAATGGGTTCGTCATATCCCAACTGGATTTCTCAAATGTCCTCTTTGCCGGTTTCCCCAGCTCCACCATGCACAGGATCCAGCTGATGCAAAACTCTGCGTCCGCATACTCACCCGTACTAAACTCCGTACCCCCATCACACCAGTTCTAGCCAGGCTCCACTGGCTCCCTACTGCCGAACAGATCAATTTCAAGATCCTCACACTCGTTTTTAAATCCCGTCATGGCCTATCACCTCCCAAGCTTTCTGTTCTGCTTATCCCCCCCAACCCAGTGGGGTTCCTCCACCTAACTGGCTCCGGCCTACGGTCACCTCCCCTTTCCCCCAGCTCGGTGTTGTGCTCCGTCACTGTCAAGCGCTTTGGGACACTGCCCTGCCCAAGGGGCGCTATATAAATACAAGTTGTTGTTGTTGTTGAAATTGGAGGGGTAATGGCTTGTGTGGAGTATAAACCAGTTGGGCAAAAGGCGTGTTTCTGTACAGTATCATTCTATATAATTCTCTGTGATGTCCATCATACTAACATACAATAGCTCCATTTAATAAACTAGAAAATCATCTATCTAGCATGCAACCCACTGGAAGCCTTCCAAGACAATCAACATATACACTTAAACATATTTTGAGGGTAAGTGGAAGTTGATTAAAGTGGAGCCGTCCAATGTGCGATGAAGCAAAATCTTTTAACAAAGAGATCTGCTGGAGTCAAGAATAGGGATCTAATTTTGTATAAATGTCACCACCCCAGTAGAGCAAAATCTCTAATAAACTGGTGATATTGTGCGTTATTCCACATCCAATCAGGCCATTTTCTCACAAATTTTAACTTGTCTGTTCGTTTAGGTACAAAGTCTACTCCCACCCTCACATCTCTTGTTAGTTCTGCTTTTGATAGAATCCTAACCTCTCCCTTCTATTCACTTTCCAACACGGTGGCATAGACATGTTCCTGAAAGCTGAAAGCTAATATGGAGGCTTTGTGTCATTTTTTGAAATATATAGTACTTGCTGTACTTGCTTCGCTTGCAATCAAAGGATCCAATATGGAACGCAGATTGACATACAGACAGACATTTCATCTTTATCTATACTCAATCGGGAGGACTCCTGTGGGAGGACTCCTTTTCGGAGGGAGAACTCGGCGCCTTAAAAATGTAATTTTGTTGTTGTTGCTGCAGATTAGCTTTGTCTGTGTTCTTAATTTTATTCCTGCGGCTTGGTTATGTACGTGCTCTGTGACGCATGATGTCACTGCGCAAAGGTCAGCCGGCGTGGCCACCAGGAGTAACTGCAGTGTGTACATACGTAGGTGCTCTGTGGCGCACGATGCCACAGCGCCACTCTGATTTGGCGGCCACCAGGTATAACTGCAGTGAAACACACAAAACTGAAAGTAACTCATGAACAATAGGGAGATACCCGAAAACAAATATGCCCATGTCACTCTCAGATGCAAGACTTTTCTGATGAAATATAAATCATGTCTCTACGTCAATCGATTACTGAGATCCTTCTTGTAGCGCAGACAACATTGTTGTTTTATTATTGTATAAGAAGGTAGAAGATAGATTCACTACCTGGACCTTTGAAAATGCAACAAACTTGCTTTAATTTAATCACTTTTTTCTCTATATCTATCTAATATACAGGTTCAAAGATTTCAGTAGAAAGATGCCCATTAAGTGAATACCCACACAAAGCGAAATAGATGGTGCTTATTTTTCCTGATATCAGAAACTTCTGAAATACGATTTATGTTTTGAGCATTATTGTCTCATTGCTAGAGAATTTTATTTGGCTTTGTAGACCGCCCATTTTTTTTCTGCTATGGTGAGAATTAGTATTGAGACATCTGCCTTGTATCAAAATAAAGGGAACATATAATAATACTTTAAATTTTATACTGCGCCTTATCACGTCTTTGAGATGTGTCTAATAATCAGCTTTACTGCCTATTTCAATTCCAGGCAGGTCAGGGCGAAACCTTGGGCAAGTTTCCTTACTCCACACGCCTAATAATAATCCCTCCAAAACCAAAAACAATAATAAATTGGTCATTTTCAATCCACGACTGTTTGTGGGACATTGCTGTGCGCAATTGGCTGCCGCGTTCGCCCACAAATATACAGTCAATTCACTTTACAGTATATTCTGTGAAGCGCTTTGGGACGTCCTCTCGACGTGAAAAGCGCTATATCAAATGCAAGGATTATTATTATTATGGATTTTCTTCCTTTCTATCAAAGCCATTAAAATATTCTTTCTGAAATTCCTCTGAAAGGTTTGAACTCTTGTTCGACTACTGACAGCCAGGAATAACTGCTGAGTTTTATGTTAAGCAATACAATACAAAATACGTCCAAAGATGCTGAACAGTCAGGGATTAAGATCCGAGCAGGGGTGTTGGGATCTGGGAAGGTGGAGGGCAGAGTGTAGGAGGGTGGCCGAACGCACGGTCGAAGAGGAAGGTTTTGAGGTGCACCTTGAAGGAGGCAGGAGAAGAAGCAAGGCAAAGGGAATATGGGATGGAGTTCCAGAGGGTGGGGGCAGAGAAGCTGAAGGCTCGACCGCCGATGGTGGGATAGGCCAGGTGGGTTGGAAGCCTACTGAACAGAAGGAGCGGACAGGTTGATGAGGGTTCAGCAGGTCGGAGAGGTAGGAGGGAGCAAGGCCATGGAGGGCCTTGAAGGTGAGGAAGAGGATTTTGAACTTGATCCGCTGAAGGATGGGGAGCCAATGGAGGGTGGGTGTGATGGGGTCATGAGCCTGGTGGGGGACAGGATAAGATCTACAGAGTTCTGGATGATCTGCAGCTTGTGGAGGCAAGCATTGGGAATGCCGACGAGCAGGGAGTTGACATAGTCGAGCCTGGATGTAATGAAGGCATGTATGAGTTTCCATGGCCTGAGGGGTGAAGCAGTGGCAATGTTGTGGAGGTGGGGGAAGGCAGTTCAGGTCATGGCATGGACGTGGGGAAGAAAGGACAGTTGAGGGTCAAACAAAACGCACAGACAATAGATAACAACAAATTACATTTGTATTGTGCCTTTCACGTCAGGAAGATGTCACAAGATGGCCAATGGAGGGGCAAGCAAGGCAGGGGACATGAAGCAGGCTGGTGCTCGCTGAGCGGAAGGAGTAAACAAGTTGATAGGGGGTTAGGAGGTTACAGGTAGGGAGGAGCAATGCCATGGAGGGCCTTGAATGTGAGGACTAGAATGTTGAACTGTATCCTCTGAGTGATGGGGAGCTAGTGGAGCCGGGCGAGGATGGGGGTCGCGGAGCCTGGTGTGGGAGAGGACATGAGCTGCAGAGTTCTTGATGATCTGCAACCTGTGGAGGCCGACAAGCAGGGAATTGGTGTAGACAAGCCTAGGTGTAATGAATGTGGGTTTTGGTGGCCTGAAGGGTGAGGCAGTGGCGGAGCCTGACGATGTTGCAGAGGTCGGAAAAAAAGCAGAGCAGTCATGGCATGGATGTGGGGTAGAAAAGCCAGTTGAGGGTCAAACAAGATATTTTGTGTAAAATCTTTAAATTCAGTCTTTTTGGAAGTGTTATGAAATGCGGAAAACTGAATTCCAAATTAACAACTATAACAACAACAAAATTACATTTGCATAGCGCCTTTCATGTCGGGAGGAGGTCCCATGGTGCTGGACAGAGAGTTACGGACTCGAGCTGGGGGTTGGCGTGGGGGAGGGCAGGGGGAAGCAGGGAGATGGAAAGCACGGTCGAAGAGGAGGGTCTTGAGGTGGGTCTTGAAGGTGGTGAGGGAGGGGGCGAGGCGAAGGGACTGCAGGATGGAGTTCCAGAGGGTGGGTGCAGAGTGGCGGAAGGCCCGCCTGCCGATAGTAGGGCAAGCAAGGCGGGGGACGTGAAGCAGGCCGTAGCCCGTTGAGCGGAGGGAGCGAACAGAGTGGTAGGGGGTTAGGAGGTTGGATAGGTAGGGGGAGCAAGACCGCGGAGGGCTTTGAAGGTGAGGACCAGGATCTTGAACTGTATCCTCTATGTGATGGGAACTGTAAGACTAAATTTAAGATTTTTTGCTGCATGATCTTTCGTTTTACACAAAACGGTCTTAGCACTAGATGGAAGTTTGAGTCCAATTAAACTAAAAATAGAAAGGAAAAGAGGTTGAGAGGGGTAGTTAGTGAAAAAGTAGAGACAAAAGTCATATAAACACACATAAAACAAATAATTCACTCTGTGCTAGCAAACAATTTTCCTCACAGATAAGGGGATTTTCCTTTATAACACAGAATTGAAAGTTCACTGGTTCTAATGAGCAGCACATTATTTACCCAGTAGTTTTAAAAGTATAGAGGCAATGAAATCAGCCTCACCTTATCAGCTTTGAGTATCTTCCATACTTCAATTTTTTTTGATTATCATTCGACATTGTTTACTTTAGCAATGCATTCACATTTATGTACATTGAAGTCATTTTTCATAGTAAGATAACAAGACATATGTAAGTAGATTCATGGAAATCTGACAATCTCAACATGCATAAGTGGCATTAGTTGTGACTAAACTGATATAATTTAAACAAGAACAGAATACTGTTGCTGAGTCAGCCAGAGCAGTTCAAGTTCCCACCAAAATCAAGGTGAAAAAATAGATTGTATTAAACATGCAGTAAATAAATTATGATAACTAACTTTCAATTCTGCCTGATCCTTTTAATCTCAATGTCGTATTCAAAGAATTGGACATGTAACCAAATACTGTATCTCAACTGTACCTGAAGAAATAATGGAGCGTGTCTCAGCAGTAAAACAGAATGGCACTAAACTGATGAGTTTAACCCAGCAGAAAGAGTGGCTGTAAACATGACAAATGCTTGCTATTGATTTCAGGTTTAATTACTCCAATAGCACTGACAAAGCCCATCAGATGTTGTTCATAAGTGTAAATGGAACAATCTACACTTCACTGCGCATAGAAAACTGATGGGTGTCTGCAGTATGCATTATTTACTTTTGGGAAAAAAGCTTCAACCCTGCTTATATTAGAGCTAATATCTACACGTTATTCTAGAAGAGTTTGTTACTTTAATAGGTTAACGTTTATTCCGCAGAAGGAATAAAGATGCAGCTTGGGAGTCTATTGCACCAAAAATGAGTTGCTCAGTAAGGTCTTCAACTGTGCATTTGATTGAAACAGCTGTTTATTGGTGCCCTAAGCTCCACCATAAACTGACAAAAAGCCTCTGCAGATGCTGTTTATTGCCACACAGCAAGACACATTGTAATATTTTAAAGGTTTTTTATGGCTGGGAAATGAAAAAATACATACAAACGTTAAAGTAACAGCCAACAGGCCATTGCATGTTTAGGAACATGAGGTAGGCTGAACATCATCCTTCAATAAGCACTGACACAATAATGTCCACCTGATCTAGATTTACTTTACTTTTGTAGCATTTCAGAGCATCCAGAATTTGATAGGCAGATTCCTAAATACAGCTTTAATTTTGAAGCCATTTTTCTGTAAGTTCTTTTAAGAACTACAGAAAAACAATTTCAAAGTTAAAACTGAATTCAACAATCTGTCAAACGGTGGATGTTCTGAGATAATATTACAACTTGCATTTGATATACAGTGCATCTCAAAGCGCTGCACAGGATATACTGCAAAGTGTAATGAGTGTATACTTTGTATGTGAATACAGAAGCTAATTTGCTCATAGCAATGTCTCACAAACATCCATGAAGTGAACAACCAAACTTGGAAGAGCTCAAATTCATTTTTTAATAACAGAAACATAGGTCGAATTATCCTATCCTTAATTATTCAACATTTATCTCACATGTAAAAAAACACAAATTTACAAAATGCATTATTTGATTGCTTGCAATTATAAGCTACAAAATTAAATACCTTGTTAATTCTTCTTCAGTTACCAACATTTAGCACTAGGAAGCACTGCTCTTCAAGTTGTAGCTGGTTGGAAGAGGGTGATTTCCATAGCATAGATTGATAGAGCAATTGCATTATTCAAAAAAAAAAGCATTTAACTAAAACATGCTTACGATCATACATTTGTATACATTAACATAAAATTTAAAGCAAAACAGAAAACGGGAAGGGAAGCTGTGAATTAAGATACTATAGCAGATTGTGCAACTAATAACGTGACTGTCTAGTTACAGGTACTAAATGCCGAGTTGGGAATGCTTGCAAAGCCAATGGAATTTCCTTGAGAACAGCAAGGGTTGTGGCATGAGAGTGCATGTATATATTGATATATAAGAAATAACACTAAAAGGTTTGTTTGTAGTGTTTAGCAGAAATATAGTTGAATATTTTTTCTGAAGCTACAACATGGTAGTTTTATCATGTTTAAAGATAATGGGAATTCATC